CTACCACGACCCGCTCCTGCACCAGAACCAGATCCAATGCCACTGCCTGCTCCAGAACCAGATCCACTGCCACTGCCTGCTCCTGCGCCAGAACCAGATCCACTGCCTCGACCCACACCTGAACCTGAACCTTTACCAGCACCCTGTCCGCCTCCCTGACCTATGCCTGAACCACTTCCCCATCCAGATCCGCTACCTCTGCCTACACCTGAACCAGATCCAACACCTGCATCAATACACAGCAAATATTCACCTGACCGAATCGCTTGTTTCGAATTATTCCAAATGATTAATGTTCACCATGTCATAACTCACATAAAAATTACAAACAATCATTACCTGACCATATCGGGATCAATGATTCGTCTGATTCATCGGACTCATCTGAGTCATCCGTAATTCTTCGTTTGCATGGTCTTCTAATTATTCGACGATCTCTGACATTTCTTTCGATACTGCCTGATTCATCGCTGTCATCCAAACTAGACGTAAGACGATACAACTCGTCCAAATATGGTGCCCCTAGCACATTGACGACCGTTACAGCCAAAATGAAGACGAACAGGGCTGTAAATTCAACAGATATTAATTGTGTAACTCATGAGCTCATGCGATTATCCCACATGGTCTCAATAATTAACGTACCCCTCATTGTACGATCGATTTCCAAACGATTGAAATCCGATCGAAATCACTACTTACTGCCCTCCGGAATTTGATGACGATCATTATATAGCAATGCGAGGGACGTGCAATTCCTTATCTCAAATATCCAGTTGTCGAAATTTATTGCTATCATCATATGTACGCAGACCGTGCGTTTTTCCGTCTCTTTAATCCGGAGCTTAATGAGTTAATAAAATATTATTCAACGCAATCATAACGGTTGTTCTTAACGAGTCAATAGACGGTACATTTTTGGGAAAGCAACGAGGCATTGAGTTATTCTAAGGCATCTCTGACGCATTTGGGATGCAATTAAAAGGCGAGATTTTATCTCAAAATGATTCAGTATCGCCCGCACAAATATCGGCTTACGAATAATGGGCGTCATTCGTCAATTTTGGAAATTTACCTGCAAATTAATTTTCGATACCATAAAAACGACTATACCCTCACTAAAACCACATCAAATTAATGGATTTAATTTATTCAATGAAATCCATGTCACTAAAATATTGAAATTGCATCTACCTTTCAGTTGTTGTTATTGTTATCTTAAATTTAATAAATAAAACGATAAAAACAAGAAAACATGGCTCAGGGACAATGGAAATGAAAAATAAAGATAAACTTTCCCCATGAATTAAATGGCGCTGAAAAAAAAAATAAAGGGTGGTTTATTTTTTTAATCATTTAATGATTTAGTGTCTTGAATATCCTCATTGTTTCATCGACCGGTCATTTATCACCTCCAATACCTAAATATTGTTCTAACAATGAGTCTTTGTTCACAACTGAGTGAACAATGAACTGAAGCTTTACCGCTTTTGCATGTGATTTTTTTAATCCTTCGGTTCAATTCCCGTAATATCAACTAATTGCCACATGACAATCCTATTATTTATTACATCACATTTCTCACTTACTAGAATATTTACAAAATTTTCCAACCGCAATTTTCAATACAAACATTCGAATGGAAATGGCAATGATTCCCAGCGCCACACAGCGGCTTCCACAAAATAACAAGAACGGTTGTATGTTCTACAGAAAAATCACAGGAGAAAAATAAATCAAAAAAGGAAACTAGAATATACGCCAAAAAATTGTCTTTCCTCAATAAATAATTAACTGACGCCTCGTAAATTTTGGGAATCCGAATTCTCATTCCATTTATCATCGCTGTGCATTTTTTTCATTTGGAAATTTTATTTGTTACACTATTGCGAGAGAATTATATTCAGTTAAATGTTTTAATGAGAAAAGAATCAAAGAAGAAAAGGTAAGAAACCCACGATTTTTTTTCCCACTTTTCATAGTGTGAGGAATAAATAGTGCAATGGTTCTGTTATCAGCAATCGTGGTTATGTGTTGCTGAAAGCTTGATGGTGATTGATCGTGAGTTTGAATGTTGAAGTTATGAACAGCTGCTGAAGCCATGGAGAGTCATTTTGCCGCTCTGAGGATTCCGGAGGCACCCGAAAAAAGTTTAACACGTGCTATGAGCTTTTCGGAGTTGCCGACGAGACGTAGAATTATTATTCAACAGACCGAGGCATCTGGAGAACTCGTCAGACAGTACAGTTGTGAACAGATTTATGATAAAGCCTCAAACACTAGGTAAACATTCAGAAAAAATCCTGAAATTCTTCAACTAAAGAAAATCCTTCAAACTTCCATTCACCCTGAGACCGCTCGCTCTGATTTTCCTTTATTTAAAAATATTGTACATAATTTATTTCAGAAGAATCAATTTCCTGACCTCAGTGACGTCGAAACTAGGTCCAGCAACTAGTCACTGGAAGCCAATGCCTCTATCATCTCTCGAAAAAAAATCTAGCTGGCACCAACGAATTCCCTCGATATCTGTAAAGCCAGAAGCTTCTCGAAATTTATTCACAAGTGGTTTCAAGGCTCCAAAAATATTGACTTCAGCCTCAACGTTCCTGAAACCTCCAGAAAAATCCACAACAGCTGCTCACATCACTTCGAATTCTCCCCATTCAGATTTACTCCCAATTATTCCCCCCGAAGCTCCTACACCAATTCCAAAATTCACCCAACCCTCCTCAACTACCTCTGAGGAAAATTCAAATGAAAATAATCAATCGAAAAAGAAACTTCGACCTTTGATTCCTGCAGAGCATTTCAAACCACCCGAGAGGAGGATTACTTCGTATAAAATCGTATTTTTTGGTCTACTCAGTGTTGCTGTCTTGATCATCTCAACTTTGATATCCGATTTCGACCAGAAGCCTTTAGATTTTGCTAACACGTCAATGGCATTAAGAAAAAATGTCTTGGGGCAGAGTGAAGCAATAGAAACATTGATCGATCACTTTCAATCGAATTTCAATAACTTCACTGCCGTGATTTTGGTGGGAGGGATAGGGGTGGGTAAAACGTACACGACGAACATCATCAAGGAACATTTTCCTCACAAGCACAACATCTTCGAGTTTTTCCCACCAATAATGAAGCAAATTCCTTCAGCTTACGAAATGTTATCGCATCATTACTGCAATCTACTCATCGTCGAAAATCTGAAAACAGAAGACGAGAAAGACTTTGTGGCTTTAACAAAATTCTTTCAAAAACAGGCGATAAGGCCTTGTTTAATTATACTGGGAGTCCTGAATCCTCAGGTGACTGATGATCATCTGGTGAGGACTATGAATCTTAAAGAGACAGTTAAGGAATTGCAGAATTTGTTTAGGCAAGAGGGGATAAATTCAAAAGTCATTCCATTCTCTCCATTGGGGGCTGAGGTAATTAGCGAGTGTATAATGAGAGAAATTAAAAACAACGGCATTGTGCTGACTGATGAAAATTATCAAAAAATTGAGACACAATTGTTAATGACTAATAATGGATGTAAGGGTGTAAACGGGAAAGTTAATTTGTTGAGAACAAAGAAAATTTTATGAATTACATAATGGCGCAACAAATTAAAGCTCCAGTTATCCCTCGTTTTTAAGATTTTCTAAGGAATTATGTGATGATAATTACGGGTTGAAGATAATTGCTCAATTATTCGTGACAAGTGCACGCAATATTTCGATTAAATAAAATACGACATGTAAATCAATTTATCCGACAATTGACAAGATGTTATGCAGAAATCATCGAGTAATTTATTGAATAAAAATCGATGAGAGTTGAAAATTATGAAAACCAATAAAAATTATTCATTATTTACTGTTTTTTTTATTATTTTCCGGGGGATTTGATTATAATTAATCAACAGGTATCTAAAAAATCCTAATACTAAGGCGTTACATGGTGACATTGTGTAACAAGTGGAAACTGAGAATCAAAGAAGAGAAATATCGACAGATTAATTACAGCAACATTTATCGATTATGCATTACTAGTAGGCAGTAGTAATCTCCGATTGAAAGCAGTAATTTTATTGTAATTTTGACGTGATGTTTTTTTTGCTCTATTGATTATTCATCCTGCAATGAATAAATAATTTACCCAGAAGCTTTCACTATTGATTTCAGAAAAATAATCAAAATGTAATCCGACCACTTGACTAAAAACACGATGTTTAGGCAAGATTTTTCGTTATCGCACTCGAGAAGACTTTCACTTCATCTAGAATTTTTTAGTTCGGGAAAGAGTTATCCGGGTGGAAAATTGTGTAGATAGATAGCTTTGTTTATTGCCATAATTTTTACTATAATTTTTCTGTTGCAATTGAGAACTGAAAGTTCTGCAAATTTGATTATCAAGCACTTAAAAATATTATATTAGTCTAAAAAAGAGTTCTTCGGTTTATCTTGCTCGATTATTTTGAAATTTTTTGAAATTATAAAATGTGGAAAGTCCATGCGTAATTTTTTTTAGAAAAATGTCGCGAATTTCGGGAAAATTTTGAAAAACGGTCCGTCAAGGACTCGACGTGCGTAAAAGTGCCATTAACTTCATGGAATATCTGGACCTACGGGTATTGGATCCCTTGGTCCTCTAAACATCTCAACTAATCACGGCGTTCACCACCACTTGGAAGAAAGGTAACATCGGGAAATTTATAAAAGAGTGATCCGTTGGTGCTTTCGTAGCAGTCGGTCGCAACTGTACCGTACGGATACAGCATTTTGGGTATGTGTCCAATCACAATAAAGGGATTAGAAAATATCAAATATCTTGACGAACAATACTAAAAAATACAGTTTAGTGTGTGAACTTTTAATTAGCATTACATTAATATTTAATTTAATTTAATTATTATTAATAGTTCATTGATTTTAAATTGAAATAGTGCAGAAGTGATAATGGAACTCGCATTCATTAATAATAAATCGCGTTATTATTTATTAATTATTCTGTAAGAAATTATGCGAGTCGGGAATTTTGAAGGGACATTCTATAATTTATTATTATTCTATTATTTATTATTAGTGGAGATGAAACCATTCAGAATTCCAAATGATCTGAAGATGATAAACAAATTTTTGTTAGTTCATACAGTCTCAAAGAATAATAGATTCGCTTGAAACATAAAAAGACGTAATGTATTGCATATCACTCCGTAACGATGAGATAATAATGACACCTCAACAATTATTTCATTTCCTCATAATTGCGATTGCGTATGCGAAAAAATTATTACCGCACAGCATAACATTGCGCTACTTATGATATACTTTTTAGTCATAAAAATACTTCGTCTGAACAATCATAGCTTTCACCCCGGAACTCAAAATTATTAGACCCTAGTAAGCTATTGCAATAATTGCCACTGTAATGAGACAATTCACATTCTTCAGTTACACGAACCCGAAATGGCAGACAAATTGTTATTAACATTCAAGAATTTTATTGAAATACCAAGAAGGACCGATAGATTTCACTTATTCAATCAACATCTCATTATTTGAATATCGTAATTATTCCTCGGGTGATAATCACCAATAATTAAATAAATTGATTATTCAGTTATTATTTATTGTTTCGAGTACGGGGGGAATAAATAAATTGATGGGTGAAGGGAATATTTACAAAATATTTGATTTTATGGATTTCACTTGTCCTTTCTTCTCATTCATATTGATTGAAATTAAAATGATCAATTAAAATTCGAACAGATTCGAAAATCTTAGACTAGAAACGAAGATGTATGAACAACCCACATACACACGGATATAAACGAAAAAGATAGAGTTGCATAACGGGAGAAAGTTGTTTCGTAATAACAACACGCGGTTATTTTTCCTTCTCGTTTAAACTCAGTGTACGCAGAAAAGATCATTTTTATCGATCATATTACATTCGTTGTCTTCAAAGTTATATCCAAAGTTATGTCATTGATGATTATTGCGTCAGCTCTTCTCATTCTTTCTTAAAAGAGAAATTATACGGCGAATTCATGTAATACTTTTTCTATAATCGTTTTGTGGTTCAAGGTTTTTGAAACCTTTCACTTTTTTAGCCCGGAGATGAGTCTTCGGAGAAACTGGAATTTGAATCGATTATAGTTAGGACATTAATTTTCATCTGTAATTTGAAATGTGAAAACTGTTGGAATTGAGTCTGTCAACATTTTCTTTACTGGCGCGATATATTTTATATCCAACGGATATTCGAAAAATCATAACTTGAATGCGGATAAAGATAGGGGAATGAATCAAAATTCATTTGAAAGCTGATATTATAAGCTTCAAAATGGTATAGCATATGCATCCTTCAACTGGAAAAATGGCGGACTGAGAGAGCTGAAAGCGTTCGCTGACTCAGACTGACAACAATTTTTTTAATAACGAAAATTCATAACTGTTGTTATTATTTTTATGCAGATTATTGAGATTGTCAGAGGCTGAAATCAGGAATCATGGGAGCAATCGAGTGGGTCACTGGAGCTGATGAATATCTGTGTCCTTTATCTGAGGAGACACAAAAATTAGCGAAGGATGAATTGAGAGAGGATCGAAATACTCGAGACCAGGCGCTGGAGCAGATGAGGAACTGGATTAAATTAAATCCAAGAATTGAAAATTCACGACTCGGTAATTTCCTATTGTAATGTAATGATTCAGTAATGATGATCAGAGTTAAAGGTAATTCTCCCGTTCAGATGCGCAATTCCTTCTACGATTTCTTCGCTGCAAGAAGTTCAATGTTCCGATGGCCCAGGAAGCCACTGAACGTTATCTCCTTCTCAGAAAAGTTTATCATCCTGCCTTCAATAAACTCGACATCACCGAAGCAAATGTCTCAGAATTGCTTGAGCTCGGGTAAGAAAGAGAAAGCAACACAATATTAAAATCCCAGAGCTTTATTGTAATTTTATATATTTTTTTGGATTCAAGATATCTATTTGCCGTACCTGGAAGAGACTCAAAAGGCCGCCGAGTGATTGTCGCACGACCTGGTAAAAACTGACAACCCAAATCTTTTTGATAAGTTCCCTTCTCGAATTACTCCAAATCATTAATTTAATTTTCTGTCTTTTATTTCAAGTCAATGTCAATGTTCGGAGGATATTGCAAATATAATTGTTATTTTTTTTCTCGTCGCTTTTCTGCAGGTGTTTTTGATCCATACAAATTCACTAACGTCGACATGTGCAAGATCCATGCGATTACTTATGAGGCATTGATGGAGGATGAAGAGAGTCAGGTGCGAGGGTTTGTACATTTTGCTGATGGCGCTGGTGTGAGTTTTCCCCATTTGACCTTGTTCACACCTCGAGAAGCCGTTCGAATTGTAAAAAATGGAGAAGTAAGGCTTTTTAATCCATAATTCATCCTCCAATTTCTATTACATTCCCATGATTTATTTGACGTACTTACCTAGGCTATTACCCAACCAATTTTCTGTTTGATTTGGGAATAACTTGTATAACAATTTCGTTTAGTTCATTGGGTCACAAGGACAGGCTCACGTAATCTGTTTCCGTAACCGGACGTTTAACCGGTTTATTTCATTCTACTTCCTCTTGGATGGATGAGTAATTCGTGA